ATATGGCCACATGTAGTTTGAGGGTTTTGTTTGCAGTTTTGGGCTCCAAATTTTGAAAAGGACATGGAGAAATTAGACAGGTCCAGAGGCAGGCAACACAAAAGATCACAGGCTTGGAAGGCAAATCAAATGAGGAGAGGTTGAAGGAAATAGGCATGATCAGCTTGAAGAAAAGGCACTTAAGATACAAGATGACATGGCAGTATTGAAATATCTGAAGGGTTGCCATAAAGAGGAGGAAAAACAAATTTTATTTTCTTGCTGCAGAGTAGGATGTGGACCGATAGCTTGAAGTTGCAGCAAAGTATGGTTAAATTGGTGTAACAGTCCCTGGGGCTCCTGTTACTTTAAGGAGAAAAGCTGCAGCTGATAGAGCCTATGCAGCAGAATACAGGCCAGAAACAAGAAGGAAGGCAGTAGAGAAACACTGCTGCCTAGGCAGGGAGCTGCTCATTAAAGTAACGGGGTGCCCTTGCAGCCTGATCAGGAGAACTCTGCTTAAGACACTTGTTGCAAAGGTAGCAGCCAGGCAGTAAGACAGAAGGGCAGAGCCTAGTTTGTGCAGCTGGGGTGCTGCTAGAGCAGCAATCACAAGCTGCCATGGAAACCAGCCATCAGGTCATAAGGAGAAACTCCTGTGGCTGGCTGGGACACCACCTAATCTGAAGTGGGAGGGTTTATAAACTACCTAAACTTAGAGCCTGAGCCAAAAAAAACAGTCTGGCCCTGCAAGCTTGCACCCAGGCAGGGCAGAGACAGGGCCTGGGGGCAAGCCAATGTAGGCTCAGAACACAGTGCTCAAGGCAGGCAGACATTAGGGCCAGAAGGCCAAGAAACAAAGTAAGAAGGACTAGGGCTTGAGCCCAGAAGCCAGGCCCAGAAGAGTGGGCCTAGGCTAGAAGGCCCAGTGAGAGTAAAGGGGTGGAGTCTGGGAAGGTTGAAGCCCCAGCAAGGAAGAATGGCTGAATAGTAACACCTGAGGCTTTGAATACTTCTTAAGGTTGCTGATGCCCTGGTGGGCACAAATGGGCCAGGACAGCCTGCTTAGCTTGAGAGCCAGATGGAGACCATTGAGATTTGGAAGGGACCTGCTGGCTGTCAGAGGAATTGAGGCTTACTCTAGGACCCATTAGGTGGGCTCCCTTTCAATCAGGCAAGTACATCAAGGCATGGCTGGTGAGTGAGGAGGGGAGGTTACCCTAGAGCAGGAGCATGGCATGGGTTGTGTGACCACCAGGGATCCTATTCTCTGATTAAAAAAAAAAAATCCCCTATTTTTGGATTTAAAGAAGTAAACATTCCACACTTTTTTGTGATCAAAATGAAATGTCACTAATATATAAATATATAAATATATCTATATATACAGCGGTGTTTCATTTTAATCACAGAAAAATGTGGATTTTGGGTTACTTTTCTTAATCTGAAATTTGGGGATATATTTTTTTTTTTAAATCAGTGAAAACCAGGATCCCTGGTGACCACCAAGGGCTGTCACAGCTGCCCCTGAGGCTCAAACCTTGCTACAGTTAGAGATCTGGAAAATCTTCTTCACTGTTAAAACAGAGAGGCAGTGGAAGACTGCCTAGGGAAGTTCTGGAATCTCCATCACTGGAGGTGTTCAAAAAAAGGTTGGATAAGTCTGGGTCAGGGATGGTTTAAGAGTAGTTATGCCTATGCAGTAATATGGATATTTCCTGTGCTTTCTGGGCTTTGCTGGATGAGGCCAGGAAATTTTCCCCACTCCTGCTGCTATATGTGTTAGCAGGAGGTGGAAGGGAGGGGAAGGGGGTTATCTTTCTTGGAAACACTAGGTGTTGGCTGCAACCAAGGCTTGAGAAGTTGACTGGGGTGTGGCCAATGGCCCTACTGGGACTTCAACCCAGAGGTTTCTGGCTAGAGGGTCTTCTCTCTCTGCCCAGAGCAAGACCTATCACTAGGATCAGGAAGGAATTTTACTCCATGGTCAGATTGGTATAGCCTGTGGGGGTTTTTGCCTTCCTAATAGGGGGGAGTGAAGCATGACCCTCTTCCTTGAAACTTTGCAGCAGAAAGACCCTGGCCACCATTGTCTACCTGCTGTACCTGTGGCACATTAGGGTACTATGTCTCGTGGTTGTGTCAGGGTTGATTGTGTCATTTTGCTAATAGGTTAGACAATGGATTTGTATAGGATAGTTTGGATAAGGATGATCCTACCTCAGGCAGGAAGTTGGACTAGATGACCTCTGAAGGTCCCTTCCAGCTGTTCTTTTCTATGATCCCGGTATATTTAACAAAAACCACTTAGCTTACAGGAAAACGTCCAGGAACAATCAAGATATGATTAATACAATACTAATGGCTCTGACTTCCACTGGGATATCCATTCGTGGGAGAAAAGATACTAAAATAGCTTAACTTTCAAGATTAACGCAACACAGTTTTCATGGCATATAGATGTAGTAGCAATTGCATGCTTTTACCAACTGCAGATTTATTTGAGATGTAAATATAATTAAAAAAAATTTGTTTAACCTCCTCTAACTAAATGATCAACTGATAATCAGAGATCCTGGTTTTCTGTCATAATAAAAAAAATCCCCAATTTTCAGATTTAAAATAGTCCAAAATCCACGTTTTTCCATGATCAAAATGAAACACCACTATTATATATACTTATCATCAGAGAAAACCAGGATCCCTGCTGATAACACAGCAGCTTAGACACAGATGTTACTGGGAACCACTCCCCACTCTCAGAGTCCTTTGACGAGGGGGGAAGGAGGGAAGTCCAACCAGACAACACAGCTCACCTGAAACCCTGTGCTAGGTGGGAGGGAGCACCTATGAATGAGCAACTAATTGCTTAATTGATGAGCCATTAGATTGCTCACTGTTTTCCTCTTGGGCTATGGGCACTAGTCCCCCTCACCCCTTCCTTGCCCCTCCCACCTCCTCACCCCTCCCTCCCTCCCTGCCCTGCTGCCTTCTGATCCCTGCGGCTTCCTTTCCCCACTTCCCTGCCAGGCTATGCCTGCCCTGACCTAAAGGATGACTAGTAAGTTAACTGGTTATTACTGCACTTATCAGTTAAACACACGTATGATTAATTGTTTTAGCTTTCACATCCCTAAGACTTATTCATCACTTGACAAACTATATTCAGAGTAAAGAACATCAAAAGCCTTCCTTTTGCACTATTGCATTGCTGGATACTGAGATCATTGATTCATAGCTGACAGGTCAAATATATGGCTCATGGGTTAGATCCAGCCTGCAAGGCCATATCATTTGTCCTGCAGGGCTCCAGGAAAAGCAGGGAATTCAAGGGCTGGGCACAGGGGACAGGGCCTGATTCCAAAATTCAGGGTATGGAGGCCTGTTAGGGCAGGGGTGGGCAAAATATGGCCCACGGGCCACATCCCACCCACTAGGCAATTTCATTTGGCCAGCAGGCACCCACCAACTAGTTGTACCCCGCCCAGCCCACATGCCTTGCACCCATCTTTGTGGGCAGAAGGGCCCGGCCCTGCCTAGCCAGAACGCAGCTTCCAGGCAGAGCTGCTCTTGCCACTGCTTCAGTTGCTGGGGAACCTGCTCAGCTTCCCTTGCGTTCTTCTTGTTCCAGGCATCAGGTAGAGAAGTGGCGGGGGTGGGAGCAGAGGGAGCTGCAGCTGCGCGGGAGCGCACAGCATGGGGCTGGGGCTTGTGGCAGCACAGAGCCCATGCCCAGGGTGTGAATGAGGGAGGGGGTGGGTGTGAGGGAGGGCGGTGACCCCACACATACTCCCCACCATTGTGCACAGCCAGTGGCAGCAGAAGCAGCAGGGGTCAGTGCTCATGGCCTGTGCAGGGGCTGCCGTCTGGCAGCATGCAGCTCTGGCCAGCACTGCATATGGTGGTGAGGAGTGCAGCCTGGCTGGCATGTCTCTACTGTGTGGGACTCTGCTCATTGCAAGTGCAGCTCCGGACACTTGTGCCCCACTGAAGAAAGCTCTACACGAAGCGGGGGCTCACCTCCACTTCTGGTGGAGTCCCAGGACCTGCATGGAAGAGTTGCAGAGGCAGTCAGTTCCACTGTGCTGGGCTTCCCTCAGTGGTGCACGAGTGTCAGGAGCTGCACGTGCACCATGTGGAGCCCCATGTGATAGAGGCGGTCTGGCCAGGCTGCACTCCTTGCCACCATGCGCAGTACTGCCTGGAGTTGTGCGCCACTGGGTGCCAGCGCCTGTGCAGGCCATGAGCACCAGCCCTCTGCTGCTGCTGCTGCTGGGGGTGGGGGCTATGCACCACTGGGGGTCCTTATACCCCCTCACCCTCCCTCACACCCCACAAACACCACATACCCATGCCCTGCCACATATACACCCTACTGCTCTCTCTCACACCCCCCTCACAAGTTCCCCCACACACCCTACCATACACACACACACACCCCAAACCACACACAACATACAAGAGTAAGACTTTATTTTTGAGTTATTATGCAATCATCTCTATATACAGTACACAGACATATCATGACAAAAATATTTTTTGGAATAAAATTTAAATCTTTATAGTAGGTGTTTAGCTCTTAGTATATGATCTAGAGCCAGAGAAAAACCAAGATGGCAACCCTCCCTTCCCAAAAAGAGTACTTTTGGGGCAAGGGGGGGGACTTCTCAGTCCCAAGATGGTGACCAGGGGGTGGGGCAGCTTTCAAGGGGCAGAGCTACCCTTGCAGTCCTCAATAGCTCACCAAAGCTCATTAAGCGGCCCTCCAGCCAAAATAATTGCCATCCCCTGTGTTAGGGATTCAAGTTAGTGGCAGAAGGCAAGCGACAATTGTTAACTCATGCTGCTCCCTGCCACTGCCAGAAGTAGGTCCAGACCCAGCCTGCAAGGAACCTTGCAGGCTGGATCTGGCCTCGGGGTGGTGGTGGTGGCAGAGGTGAGGGGGAGGGGGTCAGAACAATTTGCCACCCTTGATCTACAGTGTTTTTACAGCTTCTTAACCCAATGACCAAATCTCTCACCTGAGTCAGCAGAGTTCAGTTCCTGATTCTTCAGTCCTTCATGGACTGCCTTTGAAGATAGAATTCTGAAACGATAAAGATGGCATTGGGAAGAGTGCAAGGATGAAGAGATTTCCATACACCAATTGGTTAAAGGCTTGCTCTTATTCCGCTTTCAATTTTGACTTTAAATAATCTATTCTAAATCACAGTCCCCCCTTTGTAACATCTTCAGCTCTATGCTGATCTTTTTTTACATGCAGGAATTATTGGTCTGAATGCAGAAAGGCCAAATGTACTGACCTAGCCCAGAGGTATCAAAGTTATCTGGCCCTGCCAACCAGATGAAGGTCACGGGGTCAGGGGTGGGGGGGCAGTCTATGGGCTAGATAAGTCCTACAGACTGGTCCTCCATCCTGGAGCTAATGTGTATGGCTGGGCCAGCATAAACACTGCATGAAGCGTGTGCTTCAGACTGGCCCTGTACCCTATGTGCAGCACATGTTCTAGCTCCAGCCCCTTGCAACACATTCAGTATGCTCCTGCCATGGCCATGTCCAGGGCATATGCTGCATGTGGCATGTGGGGCTGTTCTGGGGTATGTGCTGCATGAGGTGCCACCACCAGCCTGGCCCTGTGCAATGGATGCAGCCCAGCTCAAAACACATGTGCCACATGCACCACATACCTGTCCTGGCTCCACACAGCACACGCTAAACTGGCCACGCAAGCTCCACATGGGTCAGGGCTGGTGCATACTGCATGCAGCATGCAGGCCTAATCCAAGACCCACAGGCAATATTATGGGTTGAATGATAGGGCTCCATGGGCTGTATCAAAGCTGGATTATAATCACTAAAGCAGTGATTCTCAACCAGGGTGCCAGGGCAGCCTGGAGTACTATGACATCCTTTGGAGGATGTAAAAGGAGATTCCCCAAGCAATCAGTGAGTGAGTAAACAGGGGCAGCAAATAGGGTAATTTGCAAGCAGTTTGCTGGGATCGAGAAGAAGAGGATCCAGGTGCCAGATTATCACTCTGGGAAGGTAAGTGAGCCAGAGCTGCCTGTGTGTTTGGTTTGCTGAGTGTTTGGTCATGTGCTCTGAACAGTTGGGTGATTGCTGCCTGTGTCTGATAAAAGCACTACCAAGGCAGTGGAGCTAGTCCAGGACTGGGAAGGTGTAAGATTAGAAGACTCCCTATGTGACCAGGGAGTCAGCAAACAGGGCAGTTTGCAGGTCAGTTCTGAGGTCAGTTTGCTGCCCCCCTCTTTGAAGGGGATCCTTTAAAGGTAGGGGTTTTCAATGTTTTTGGGTCAGTATACCCCTGGCAGCTGGTCAAGAAGGAAGGAGTCCCCTGCCGGCCAGTCGACGAGTGGCGGGAGGTTGGGGGGTACCCAGCGGCTGATTGGTGACTGTGAAGAAGTGTCAGTAGTGGAGGTGCTGCGTTAATGGCAGTGGCGGTGCCCCCTGCTGAGTACCCCCCTGAGGCCTTCCCAAGTACCCCCAGGGGTAGTACTCCTGGTTGAAAACCCCTGCTTTAAAAGGTAAGCTCTTTAATCAAGACAATTTAAAACCCATTGTTTAATTAGAGTCCAGAGCAAGGGGAAGTTCACTAGGAAGCATGCCCTGAAACTCCCTCTCACCTTCTTTCGCTGTAATCTGAGTCTGAGAAAACAGTTTACCAGGGAAGAGAGAACTTTCCAGTACTAAGGAGCTGTTAACAAACCATTACAGGGGAGTTTGCTAGGGAATGTTGGCTTGGAAAGAGAGGCAGAAAGACACAGGAAGTAGATTAAGAGACACAGAAATGGCTGGAGGACATCACAATACCAGAGCCACACAGTGGCAGAGGTGTTGGTCCCTGCAAGACCCCTCATCATCAAGGCTTATACCCAAGTCTGCGTTTGGTGTTGTGCAGACTGCAGGTTCCTTCCAGTGACAGCCAGGTGGGGGAGTGCCTGTGATGTGAGTGGTGCCTCCTGGTGGTGTCCCTCAGGGAGCATGCAAGAGAGCTACAGGAGGTGGTGCAAGGTTCCAAAGCATCCTCTGCAATGAGGACTTCATTGATTCCATGCTAGAGGGGAACTCTTAGATTGTGGAGGAAGGACTGCGAGAGGCAGCACTAGAGAAGGAAGAAGACATGGATTCCCAGCAGGGTGGAAGCTGGAAGCTTGTGATCTCTGGCAGCAAGCAGAACTCTTCATCTCCATCTGCAGCAGTTTGCCTGGAGATCAGTTGTGGAGTTCTAGCAACAGATGAGTAGGAGTATATTTGTGTAGGCCAAGCCAGGCATCCCCAAGGTGGGGAGGATTGAGACCATTGCAACCAAGAGGAAGCAGTGGGTGGTGGTGGTTGGAAATGTCCTTCTTCAAGGGTCAGACACATCCATCTGCCAGCCTGACCTGTTGTCTCAGGAGGTCTGTTGCCTGCCTGGAGCCTGGATCCGAGATATTGCAGGATTACCTAGACTCATCCAGCCGTCTGACTACTACCCTATGCTGCTTATCCATGTGGGTACCAGTGATACTGCCAGGGGTGACCCTGAGCAGATCAAGTGACTACTGAACTTTGGGTACAAAAGGTGAAGGGGCCAGGGGCTCAGGTGGTCTTCTCCTTGATCCTTCCAGTCAAGGGGAAGGGCCAGGCAGGAACGGATGCTTCCTGCAGATCAATGGATGGCTACACAGATGTTGTTGCCAGCAGGGCTTTGGCTTCTTGGACCATGGGATGTTGTTTCAAAAGAAGGATAGCCAGGAAGAGATGGGAACCACCTGACTAAGAGAGGGAAGAGCATCTTCGCAGACACGTTCACTAACCTAATGAGGAAGGCTTTAAATTAGGCTCACCTGTGGATGGAGACCAAAAGCCCTGAGGTAAGTGGGTAAGCAGGTAACCTGGGGGTGACATTCTTTCTCATTCTTCCTGAGAAAGTAGGGCAATCCACTAGTTGCCTCAGGTGTCTGTACATGAATGCATGGAGCCTGAGAAACAAGCAGGAGGAGCTGGAATTCCTCTCAAAGTCACGGAATTATGATGTGATTGGAATAACAGAGACTTGGTGGGATAGCTCACATGACACTGTCATGGATGGGTATAAATTGTTTAGGCATGGGAGAAGAGAAGGAGAAGTTGCACTGTATGTAAAAGAACTGTATGATTGCTCAGAGCTCCAGTATGAAAGTGGAGATAAGCCTCTTGGAAGTCTCTTGGTTAGGGTCAGAGGGGAGAGCAACAAGAGTGATATTGTGGTAGGGGTTTGCTATAGACCACCAGACCAGGAAGATGAGGCTTTTTTCAGACAGGTAGTGGAAGTTTCCCAGTCACAGGCCCCGGTTCCTATGGGAGATTTCAATCACTCTGACATCGGCTAGGAGGGCAATACAGCAGTGTACAGGCAATCCAAGAAGTTTATGGAGGGTGTTGGGGAGGCCAACTAGGGGATGTGCTCTTTTTGATTTGCTGCTTACAAACAGGGAAGAATTGGTAGAGAACATAGAAGTGGATGGCAACTTGGGAAGCAGCGACCACGAGGTGATTGAGTTCAGGATCCTGAGGAAGGAAAGGAAGAAGAGCAGCAGAGTAAGGACACTGGACTTCAACACACTCAGGGAACTGATGGGCAGGATCCCCTGGGAGGCCAGTCTGAGGGGGAAAGGTGTCCAGCAGAGCTAGTTGTATTCTAAAGAAACCTTACTGAAGGCAGAGGAACAAACCATCCTGATGCATAGGTATACTAGCAAGTATGGCAGAAGACCAGCTTGGCTTATCAGGGAAATCTTTAGTAAACTAACACACAAAAAGGAAACTTACAAGAAGTGAAAACTTGGACAAATGATTGGGGAGGAGTATAAGAGCACAGCTCGAGCATGCAGGGATGAAATCAGGAAGGCCAAAGTGCAATTGGAGTTAAGGCTAACAATGGACGTGAAGGGTAACAAGAAGGGTTTCTACAAGTATGTCAGCAACAAGGGGAAGACCAGAGAATATGTGGGACCCTTACTGAATGGGGGAGGTAACTTAGTGACAGATGATAAGGAAAAAGCTGAAGCGCTCAATGCCTTTTTTACCTCAGTCTTCACAGACAAGGTCAACTCCCGGATTACTGCACCTGGCAGCACAGTTTGGGGAGGAGGTGAGCAGCCCTTAGTGGTGAAAGAAGAGGTTAGGGACTATTTAGAAAAGCTGGATGCATACAGGGGGCTGGGTGTGATGCACCTGAGGGTGCTGAGGGAGTTGGCTGATGTGACAGCAGAGCCACTGGCCATCATCTTTGAAAACTCGTGGTGATCAGGAGGGGTACCAGATGATTGAAAAAGGGCAAATATAGTGCTCATCTTGAAGAAAAGGAAGAATGAGCATCCAGGGAACTACAGACCTGTCAGCTTCACCTCAGTCCCTGAAAAAATTGGAGCAGGTCCTCAAGAAATCCATTTTGAGGAAAAGGTGATGATTAGGAACAGTTTGCATGGATTCACCCAGGGTAAGTCACACCTGATCAACCTGACTGGCCTCTATGATGAGATGACTCCTTATAGGAAGTGAGGGCCTATTGCAGAGTGGGTTACCTTGCAGCAGTCCAGCATCTAGGCAACAGCAGTAAGCTACCATGAGATGAAGCCAGGAATCCTAAACAGAAAGTATCTGAGGAAGTCATTTGACTGGAAAGGGGCAGGGCCTGGGAGATATATGCCAAGGGCTGAGCCAAAGCAGTCAGTCTGGCCCTACTGGCTGAAGGGGAAAGACCTTCCAAGCAGAGAGGCTGCAGAGGACTGCCTGGATGTCTCCTGAGCTCATAGGGGCCCTGAAAGTAAAGCTTGGATGGCCTGCAGGGGAACATGACCAGAGTGAGGCAGTCTATAGATTCATAGATGTTAGGGTCGGAAGGGACCTCTATAGATCATCAAGTCCGACCCCCTGCATAAGCAGGAAAGAGCGCTGGGTCTAGACCCCCGGGATGACCTTATAGACAGCCACAAGGTCGCCTCTCAACCTTCTCTTGCGAAGGCTGAATAGATCCAGTTTCTCTAGTCTCTCCTCGTAGGGCTTGGTCTGTAGGCCCTTAACCATACGAGTGGCCCTTCTCT